CCAGTTCCCAGATCCCATCCCAATTCCCAGATCCCATCCCGGTTCCCAGATCCCATCCCAATTCCCAGATCCCATCCCGGTTCCCAGATCCCATCCCGGTTCCCAGATCCCATCCCAGTTCCCAGGTCCCGTCCCGGGGAGGGTTTGGACACCCACAATCCCGTCTCTGGGAAGGTCTCAGAATGTCCCGATCCCATCCCGGGAATTCCCAACTCCCCTCTCTGGGAAGGGCTGGCTGGGCTGCTGCCACCAACCCCCTGGCCCTGGGTGTCCCCATGTCCCCGGGGTGGTGTCCCCATGTCCCCTGGGCGGTGGTGGTGTCCCCAGTTTGGTGGCAGTGTCCCCAGTTTGGTGGCAGTGTCCCCATGTCCCCAGGGTGACAGCGGTGTCCCCATGTCCCCAGGGTGGTGTCCCCATCTCCCTGGCATGGTGGCAGTGTCCCAGGCTGGTGGTGGTGTCCCCAGGGTGGTGTCCCCATGTCCCCAGGGCAGTGTCCCCATGTCCCCAGGGTGGTGGCAGTGTCCCCATGTCCCTGGGGTGGTGGCAGTGTCCCCATGTCCCCAGGGTGACAGCGGTGTCCCCATGTCCCCAGGGTGGTGGCAGTGTCCCCATGTCCCCGGGGTGGTGTCCCCATGTCCCTGGGGCGGTGGCGGTGTCCCCATGTCCCTTGGGCAGTGTCCCCATGTCCCCGGGGTGGTGTCCCCATGTCCCTGGGGCGGTGGCGGTGTCCCCATGTCCCTTGGGCAGTGTCCCCATGTCCCCAGGGTGGTGGGGGTGTCCCCACGTCCCCCCACGGTGTCCCCATGTCCCCTGGGCAGTGTCCCCATGTCCCCACGCGGTGTTCCCATGTCCCCAGGGTGGTGTCCCCATGTCCCCGGGATAGTGTCCCTATGTCCCTGGGGTGGTGGTGATGTCCCCACGTCCCCACGCGGTGTCCCCATGTCCCCTGGGCAGTGTCCCCATGTCCCCAGGGTGGTGTTCCCGTGTCCCTGGGGTGGTGGTGGTGTGCCCAAGGCAGTGTCCCCATGTCCCCGGGGTGGTGTCCCCATGTCCCCGGGGCGCTGGCGGTGTCCCCCCGCGGTGTCCCCATGTCCCTGGGGTGGTGTCCCCATGTCCCCCCGCGGTGTCCCCGTGTCCCCGGGGCGCTGGCGGTGTCCCCCCGCGGTGTCCCCACGTCCCCGGGGTGGTGTCCCCATGTCCCCCCGCGGTGTCCCGGTGTCCCCGCGCTGAGCGGGCTGGCCGTGCAGAGTTCTGGAAGGTTCTGGCCCTGCTCTACGTGCCGGCGCTCTACTCGCCGCTGCTGGCCTGCGCCGGGCCCCGGCACCGCCTGGCCTACGCCGCGGGGACCCTGCTGGCCTGGGGACACTGCGGGGCGCACGCCTGGCAGCGCGCGCAGTGTCCCCTGGCGCCCCAGGTGGGTGGCACCGCCGTGGCACGGCCCGTTCGGGTGGCACTGAGGTGGCTCCCTTGTCACCTCCTGAGGTGGCCC